AAAAAAAAAAGTTAAGCACAGAGTTGATGCAAATTAAAAGAGGCATAGATTCTTGATGCAGATTATGAAGATTGCTACCATTGGCTTTCGATCAATGAGATTGGATGTGATGACTCTCATGAGGTTATAACGTTGAAAAACTTAAAATTGAGTGAGAAATTATTTGTTTGCATGTTTTTTTGATCAATCTACAAAATGAATATATATAGCATGTTCAAATTCTATTTTTATTTTTTATAAAAAAATTAAACGAACTACATGTACAAAAAATTATTACTTCAATTTAAAGTGAATTTGTATCTGTATTTTATTTGATTTTACGATTTTATTCATTAAATATTTTTAAAGAATTCTTGTGAATTTGATTTTGTATTTCTCTTTTTTGTTGATAAAAAATTCACATTTATTATATTTTTGGTGTTTTTGTTTGAAGTGAATTTGTCAAATTCAATTTTTATATGTATTTTAAAATGAATAATGTGAAAACAAAATCAAGAGTTAATTGAAAACTTTCTATAATTTTGGAAGAGAAATTGAAATTCACAAAATATAAAGGCATAATTTCCAAGCAGAAGTAGACGGAAGGACTTTATTGAAAAATATGTGAAAGATTAGGAGAGATAGAAAAAAACACTTCTAAAAAATAAGAAAAATAATGGAATTCATATATTTTGGGGGAATAAAATGAAATTAACCCTATTTTTTAATTATTTTTTTAATACACCTATATGTGGTGACTAAAATTCAAATTATTCATTTAATAATAGTGCCAAAATATGATGGATGAACAGCCATTCCCACTCGACCCCACTGTTGATGTTTTGTTTTGTTGCATGTAGAGAAACACCAATGCAAAATATTGTGGACCGGTTTTAAGGACACAACAGTACGAAAGAAAAAGAAAAAAAAACTTCAAATTGGAGGATGGGCCTTCTAGCAAAATAATTCGAAAATTGATGCTGGCTCTTGTCTTGTTGATGTCTCCTTGAGCAGATTATAAATTAGCATCTGGAGTTTTACATAATAAATTAATTTTTTTAAAAAAAAATTAATTAATTACTTTTTTTAATTAGTGTTGACTATAATTAATTAAATATTATTTTGTTCGAACAATGTCTTTTTTCCCTATTAATCTTTCCATATGTTTTTACTTATTTTTTTTCTATTTAGATAAAAACATAAATTGAAAAAAATAAAAATGACTTTAAGTTACAGATAGAAAAAAACTAATTAATTAGTTATTAAAAATAAAATAGCTATTTAAATCCTTGTGAAAAATTAGGGTGAATAATGTACAATTTACTCATGTTCCTTATAAGGTAAGGCCTGCATATAATAATAAATAGTCTGAATTAGTATCTCATAGAATTTGGAGGGTGGAATGCATGATAATTATTAATTTATTTAGAGTAAACTCGATGTTTTTATTTACGGGACTTCAATTGGATCAAAATGGGAGAAGGAGCGCGTCTAAACGTTCTTTTGCCAATAAATATGTCTATAGGGAAGGAGAAAAAAAAAACTATTTCTTTTAGAGGTTAGCAAGGAAGAAATAAAATAAAATAAAATAAGAAAGAGGTGGAAATTAAATCTGGGAAACCCATAGGAAAGTCAAAATAGAAGCATATATTTTCTTCAATCAATGAGCATTAATTAGAGTGGTTATTACATGTAACAAAATTAATGAATCCACAATCCCTGCCAACTCTATTGTTCTGATCCATCTTCCAGAGCAATAAAAAAGGAACAGAGAAAAATGGAAGAGCAAAGTGGAGAAGAAGAACAAATTAAAAGGTGTAATTAATATATTAAGTATCAAGCTAGCTAACCCTTGAACCATTTACTGAACTTGACTGATAACATGACATCTACAAGTTTATAGAAAATCAATTAGCATGTATATACTATACGTAGAGCGTATATGCATTTTCAGAAGAAAAAAGAAAGAAGAAGAAGAAGAAGAAGAAAGATATAGATGGATAGATCCGGAATTCAAAATAGGAAGCCGAATAGATGGACACTACAAAATATATCAAATAAAGTAGTTCTATTAATTACACTCTTGTAGCGAGATTGATACATATAATTCAAGATTTTCGAGAGAATTCTTCAAGGCTCGCCTCGCTCCCGCTCGTGCCAGCAAATAAGCATGGCTATGCAACGCCTGAGGATATAGAATTTGGCCCTCTGCTTCTTCACCAAATGGCTGCACTTCTGCCCGAACGATCTGCAAGGTTCACAACCATGCAGCTGATCAGTCTTACTCTTTTCCTTTCCTGCCATGAACTATAATGTAAAGTAAGAGCTAAGAGTGTGAGTATACTACAAAAAGAAGTAAATAAAATATAAAGGGTGGAGATGGGAGGGTGGTGTATTTATAGATAGAAAGGTAAAGGAGATTTTGGGGTAGGTGATATGGTTATATTCGATCTGGGTTGGGCTTCTCTGTTTAAGGTATGGACTGTAGCCATTGTAAATTGTAAGGTAACCCACTGACTGTCAGGGAGGATGGTGCAGCATATGATCAGGCACGGTATGGGACCAAGGCTCCTGCCATTTCACCTGAAAATATTACTAGTTAGCCTAGGTCCCATTTCGTCTTATTAAAAATACTTTTACTATCGTGATATATATATATATATATATATATATATATATATATATATATTCAAGTTTCAATTATGAACTTTAGGTGGCATTTGTTTGAGGAAAAATAAGTTTTTAGAAACTTATGTTTTTCATTTTTCAGTATTTATTTCACATTTAGAAAAAAAGTTAATTAAAAATGATAAAATATTTTTGAAAAACAAGTTTTTAAAAACTTATTTTTCTCATTTTCAGTATTTATTTCGCGTTTAGGAAAATAGTTAATTAAAAATAATAAAATATTTTTTAGTTAAAAAAGAGGAAAACATTTTCCTTTTCACGAGTCGTTTCTCTCTCGTGTTACTTACCTCTCTCTCTCGATATATTTTAACAATTTTTTTCTCTATCTTCTTTTAATTTAAAATATATCAAATTAAATTTTAATTATTCCTTATCAATTATTATTATTTATTTAATTATTTTTTCTCTATTTCTACTAATGTTTGATTTTTTGATTTATAAATACATTAAATATTCTCAAAAACCATTTTTACACCTTAAAATTATTTTTATAATAAATATTTTAATAGTTTATCTCTTTTTTTTTACTATTATCTCAAACACTACCTAAAATATACTTAAATGATTGGAAGCGATTATTAAAAGACTGTAATTTTTTATAAAAAAAATTAAAATTAATTAATTCATTAATAAATATATTATTTTTCTAATACTATTCATTTGCAACTAAATCAATAATTTATACTTTTAATCAATTGTAAAATTTTTTGATAATTGTAGTGAATAATTGGTTAAAAATTATTCCAACATTAATCTTTTGAAACCAAATGAATAATTATTTATAAATGATAACTAATAATTTATAAAACTATTTTTTAAACTAAATTATTACTTCAATTTTCAAAAAAAAAAAAAAGAATTCTTAATTGAGTTACGAAAATAATAATACTAGGATTACTTAGAATTTTTTTTTTTACTAAATGTGAATATTGACTTGATTTGTTTCAAGTAATTTTGATGAATTAGTTTGATAGTTAAAAAAGTATATTTTATTTTTTGAATTAAAATTTTAGAGTTAATATGTATGAAAATTTATTAAATTTTTTTAAATGTATCTTATATTGTGAAATTGTGAATATGCCTTTTTGAAGTTTTCTCAAAACTTATTGATGTAACAATCACATACTATGTTTGTATTTTAATTTTTATAGCAAACAAATACTTAAATATATTTTCAGCAGTTTTTTCATATAATTGTCAAACAACATAAAATATTTTTCTAAAAAATAATTTTTTGAAAAATAACTTTTTTAGAAATTAATTTTCCTATAGAAATTATTTTTGACCAAACAAACGGAGCCTTGTAGTCATTCAATTTATTCATAGAAATACTGTTATAGTCCTTTTATCATCTGGGAAGAAAGAAAAGGGCGAAAGAAAAACAAATTATGGAACGTCAGAATGCTTTTTTCCAAGGTTTTATATATATATATATATATATATATATATATATAACCTTAAAAGGTGCAGGACTGCATACATAATGGTACAGGTTGTAATTTTGTCCATATAAGCAAGTATTTGAGTCATGTCAGAAGTAATTCGATATCTCAAATCACTTATGGCTGCAATCAAAGTATTTTTTTAAAACTAAATTATTTATTAGTTCTATTTATTTGATAAAAGCTATTTAATACAAAATAATTTAATGTTAATGTGTTTAGTTTCACAATACAAAACGTGACTGTTCGCAGCACAATACAACAGAACAAGAGTCAAATCGGCTGTGACGCACTTTAAGCAATGCAAGGAAAAGATGCTTTTATGAGCTGGAATGTTAATGGGCCAGTACCCAACTCATTAAACCACTTCCATACCTGCGTTACCATGAAACAAAATTGTATCCATTGACGGTCAAACCCATTAATTTATTTTTATTCAATAATAAAAATATGTTTAGATCAATTTATACATTGAATAAATATTATTTTTTTCATGACAATTTAAAAAACGTAATCCTCGCACCAACTAATACATTCAAAAAAACTTAATAAAAATTTTATGGTTAACCTTTAAAATATACATTTTTCATACATTATATGTCCGAACTAAACTTAAGAAAATATTTTTGATTCTCATATATATATTTTTTTGAAAAATATAATGTAGTCATGTGTTGTTTATTTATTTTGTTATTAGATACCTATATATATACAGATTCACTCACTAAAAAAAAACATACATGTATAAAAATTCATTTATACTGGCAAAAACGAATTTTAGACTATTTTTTTATATATATGAATTTTAATTTTAGTTTAATATAATAGAAGAAAGAAAATTGAGGAAGGAAACGTTAATTAAATCTTTCCTTGCCTCCTTCCATAGTCTCCCTAAACTTTAGCAGGTGCAGAAGTAGGTGGGGTTACTAAAGAGGCGACACGTCGTCCTCTCTCGGACCTGCTATTCTCAGCAAACTTAAGGCTCCCATGGTGCAACCCTTTCTCTTTCTCCTCTTCGTTCCACTCTAACCCATAATAATACTCCTCACTACACTTGTCAACATGCTTTGTAGCAGGCAAGAACATGCTGCCCCATTGTGGAAAATGAATAAGAGCCACTGGTAATGTACAAGTAACTATCATGATTCCCATCAAAGACAACCCAGTTGCTGTAGAATATTTTGAGCTTGTGAAAAATAGAAACTGAGTCAGTCCAGACCCAAAATTACCACCTGCACCAGTGAGGCCAGAGATGATACCAAGAGAACGGCGAGAGATGAAGGGGATAATACCAAATGTAGCGCCACAGGCTGCTTGGGCTCCAAGGGAGAAGAGGATCATGGAGATTGTGGAAAGAGGGAGAGAGTTGGCTCGGCCTAGGCAGATGCAGAATATTCCTCCAAGGGTTTGAAGGATATACAGGTTCCAGAGACGGCCTCGCATGCCGAATCGACGGGCTGCAATGTCAGACATGAGGCCACCGAAGGGGCGAGCAAATATGTTAGCTAAGCCAAAAGTGGCAGCTATTGTCCCGGCTGTGTGGAGCTTGAGATTAAACCTACAGTAAACATGAAGCATAAGTGTATATTAATGTTAGTATTACATCGTTTGTCCTTTACGTTTGAAGAAATTAAATTTGAGTTGATGAGACTAGCGAGAGGAAGATGGAACCTGTCGAAGAAGTATTCGGCAATAACATTATCGGTTGTTAATTCTACCCCTAATGACATACCATAGAGAAGGAAAAAGATCCATGTTCTGTAATTTGTGACCGCATACCACAGGACCTATGCCAAAAAAAGGATAATGGATGTCAAAAAAGTAGTCATAATCAGTGATGAAAAAATAAATAGTTAGCCAATGAATTCAATAAAATAAAACGTTGTCATAGCAAATATTAATTAATTTGAACTGGAAGAGATTTTTATTGATTGGTTTTCTAAATTCTTCATTAGTCAAGCAATCGTAATACGCTACGCAGTTCTTAGTAACAATCGAAATCTAGGTGGCACCTTGATCTAACTTCTCTATATATTTCGATACTGGCCATGGCCGGCTAAGTATTCTTCCAGCTAGTTTAAATGCCTCCCATTACTCCCAATTTTATCATCAATATCAACTATGCTTTCCTGGAGTCTGGATTTCGAATGCTTAAGAATACATATGGATCGATACTACTCAGTATCAACTATGTTCGAAACCAAATTTTGTTTATAGGGATCCTTACCTTGGAGAAATTGTCCCTTTGAACTTCCCCTTTCTTTTGCAAACTACTACGGTTGCCATCAGGTAAATCTTGACCTAAGCTTAACACTAAAATTCCCATAATCACATGTAACCACCCAGGAATAAAGAAGGCAATCCTCCATGCTGTAAAAGGTGTTGCCCCGGCTCGCCTAATTAACTCATACAACAAAGGCATGAGCAACTGAGTAGCCCCACCTCCCATGTTACCCCATCCAGCAGCAGTACCATTAACAAGCCCAATAATCTTTCCATTAAACATAGTACTCATCCAATATTGGCACGACACAAAAGTTGCCAGAGAAAATCCAATCATGAAGCGCACAGCTACATATCCTCCAGCGGATGACACAAATGACATGCAAAACACTGTGGGGGCTGAAAGCATTATAAGAAAGGCACAGCCATAACGTGGACCTAATAGGTCACATGCTGCGCCCATTACAAGCCTAGAGAAAATGCTACCAGAGACTGAGGCAATCCCGGCATTGCCAATGTCTGTCTTTGTGAGATTTAAGTTGTCTCTGATGATGGGAACTAAGGGAGCGGCAGCGAAGGTGGAGATGAAGCAAGTAAAGAAGGAGAGCCAGGAGAGGTGGAAAGTGGTCATGTGTGGTTTGGCTAAGGAGGAAAGATTGAATACTTTGGCTTTGTGCTCTGAGTCCACTGGCAGAGAGAATTTTGCACTGGTGTCTGTTGGAATTTCATTATTATCGCTCAGTACTGAGAAGGCAAAAGCCTGATCTTTGGCTGATACTCCATGCATGGAGCTTCCTGGCGAGGTCTCCTCATTACCCATAGTTTGAGATTTTCTGAAGATCAGAACCGAAATGGTAACCTCTTAGTCCTATGGTTTTAAGGATTGGGGACTTGATCTGAAGTACTGGTGTTCGCGGTTCTTACAAGAACTTGGTAGCAGTTGGGAATTAATTTAAGGGGAAAATACTTTTAAATAGGACATTCCATCTACAGTTGGTATTCAAGCACTATAACACTTATCTCATACTATTGTTAGCATCTTGTTGAGAAGGCAACAATGTATTCAAACTTTTAAGGGGATCAATAAAATGCCGATCGAAATATATAATGACAACTGAAAAAACACAGAAGAAGAAATTTGAAGTAGTGCTGATGGCAATAAATTGAATCATGACAGTCCAAATTTTACAATGACATTTAAGATTGATGGAGACTAAAACAATTTTCTATTATTCCCTTTACCCTTTCGCATGTTCTAAGAGGTTTTAAAGGGTTCGTCTAGGATAAACACCGTTTCGCTAATTTTCATATATATATATATATAGCTGGGCGTATTTTGAGAGAAATTTTAAAAAATTTTAAAACTAAATATTGTATATTTACAGTAGTTATTTTATAAATTTATTTTTTAGAAGATAGATAGATAAAAAAAATATATTTGTATTCATTAAAAGTAATTAAAAGTAATAAGAGGATTTTCATTTAATTTTTTTTCCTAATTTTCTCTTTTTCTCTCTCTCTCTGTTTTTTTTTAGGCTACACAATGAGGATATTTCTCACCGTTACATAACCAATCACTTAAAAAATTTAGAGTCAGTAGACTTGAATTCCATTTCATTAAATAATAATAATAATAATAATAATAATTGAGGTTAAACTCGCATGTTGAGAATTATTATTATTATTATTATTATTGTCAAAAAAAAACACGGAATTAACGATATTGTATTTTGCTTCTGAAAATATCACACAGCTATTAACTGGTTCAGTTGCTCTGGTGAGACTGGAGAAAATTTTTTCTTGTTAAATTTATTCTTAACAATTGCAAATGCATGTGGCTTTACATCCGCCAAAGTTCTTAATCAGTCGTGATCTAACAACAAGGAATGAATAGCTAGGGATAGGTGACTTGGATTGGCATTTACCGGTCTTCTTCATGAGTTTAACGTTATGATGAAATCAGTATTTTTGTTAAGGATTACTTGGATTTAACAAGACACATGTTTTATTTCTTGTATATTTACTGGAAAAGGATATTGAACAGATCATTATAGACCAACATATGTCCAATGGAGGAGATTTTCCAGATTGCCAACTCCTTTTCTTCTTCTTCTTCTTCTTCTTCTTCTTCTTCTTCTTATTGTAAAGCTCGCCTAATTCGAAACCAATAGCAAATTGGCATAATTATTCTTTCTTTGTCCCAAAGTATTAGTTTTTATTTTATTAAATTTTCACACACTTTAGTAGATATATTAATTGATATAACACATCAGTTTTTTTTTTAAAAAAAAAAATATATGCCAAATTTGAGTTTTAAAATTTTTTAAAAGATATGAGGATCATTAAACCTTTCTAAAATTAAGGTACCAAATCAAGATATTCCTTTCTTCCAAATTTAAATTGAAAAAAATTTAAGAAACATCTAAAAATCATTAATAAATCCTAATTTTTTGATAAAATTTTAAGCCAAAAAATTAGATTAAAAAACAAGACACCAAATCAAGATTTTTGTCCCTTTAAAAATAAAATAAAATTTTTTTAGAAAGATCTAGAGATCATTAAGCCTTCTAAAATTTCTCATAAATTTTATGCAAAAAAATCAGTCCCAAAATCAAAGCACCAAATCAAATTTTCATCCCTCTCAAATTTAAGTCAGAAAATTTTTAGAAAGATTTAAAGATTATTAATGAATTCTAAATTTTCTATAAAATTTAAGCCAAAAAATTAGTTCTAAAATCAAGGTGCCAAATCAAACTTAAGTTGAAATTTTCTTAAAAAAATCTAAAGATCATTAGCAAATCCTAAATTTTTCGTACAATCTTAAGCCAAAACGTTTGTTTCAAAATCAAGGCTCCGAGTCAAAATTTTATATTAAAAATATTTGTATGTGTAAAAAAATGTAAAAAATATTAATTTTCTAGTTAGTAAAAAAAATAAGAAATGAAAGAAAAAATTGATTAAGGGTATTTTAAAAAAATTAATATTTAAAGTTTTCACCAGGCAATCATTTTGAGACAAACATAATTAAATAGAAATAATGACAATCTCGTAGAAAGAGTATTTATGTTTTCCATGTATGTTAAAACTCCAACAAACAACCAATGTAACCGATTTTTAAGGGAGTCAATGAGCTCTATTTTCTTAATTTTTTTAATGTAGCCCCTTTCTAATATGTAATCTATTATTTAAAGAAATCCTTTTTTATATATAAATTTAAATGTTAAATGTCAACGTGGATTAACAAATGGGATCAAGTTGATAGCTTTTCTTCTAATTGAAGATTAAATAATATTATTTATGTATTCAAGATGGTTGACTTGAGTAGAAGAGATTCTAATTGTTTAATTAAGTGGTCTCGAATTTAAGTCTTTATGTACATAAAAAACTCTCCGAATAGTTGTACTTGCCTTGTGTGTCCGATCGAATAAGTGAACATGGTGGCCTTGTTAAATGTCAACGCGGACTAACAAATGGGACCAAGTTGAAAGTTTTTCTATTCTAATTCAAGATTAAATAATATTACTTCTATACTCAAGAGGGCTGACTTGAGTAGAAGCGGTTCGAATTGTTTAATTAAGTGATCTCAAATTTGAGTCTTTGTGTACGTAAAAAACTCCTTGAATAGTTGTACTCGCCTTGTGCATCCGATTGAACATTGAGGGATTAGTTTAGGCCTTTAGGCTTGAGATACTTGAGGGATAAAAAAATACTTATGTTGTATGATTTTGTCGGTTTAAAATTAGTTATAGGACTTAATTAATTTTAGAAAAAAAATCGAGCATGTATATTTAGACTCATATATAACAAACTTGTCAACAAAGATATTTATGCAATTATATATGGCAAGATTATAGAAAAATAAAATTAAAATAAACAACATGACAATGATTGTGGTAGACTTGTTGTGAATCTTTCAACACCACTATAAAAAACAACTAAATGACAATAAAAATCAGATATGGACGTGAAGTTATCGGCATATAACGATGAATTAGCGATTGAGAAATGATTGTTATCAATTTCTTGATATTTTGGATTAATAGCAATGGAATACTGATTGATTAATGATGGAACACTCGCTATCATTGACTTAAGCGGTAAGTTTTTAATGGATAATTCGGTGACGAAATCTCAACTTAGTTTTGAGGGATTTTAGAGACAAATGGTGTTTTTTATCGCTAATTTTAAGCTGGATATGAGGAGATGATTTAATGACAAACTAAGTGTGTCATTTTAAAAAAAAAGCAAAAAATTAGTAACAAACACATATATTTAGTGATGAAATTGTGTTCATCACTAAAATGAGTAACGAGAACATTGTGTCGTAAATTATAGAAAAAATTAGCACAATTAAAAAAATAAACGAGTGACAAACTCTTATTTTTAGTGACAAAATAGCATTCATCACTAAAAAAATCCTTAAATTTAGCAAAACACTATTTTTCCTATCCTTTATCCCTCAGTCATTGCTTGCCACTCTTCGTCTCACGTCCGGTGGTTGCATATAGAGAAAATAGAGGACAAACAAAACGAGTAGTGATTATAAATGATTTTTCCTTTAAAATTCTTCAAATTATTGGTCAACCTTTAAAACATGACAAACACATATACTCATGCTACTATAAATACCTATGAAGATAAATCTGTCTCTTCACAACTTAGTAAACGAAGCACTCGAAATCAAAGAAGTCTACTAAAGTTTGTTTAAAACAAAAAAATATGTCAAGCACTCGCTGGTCAAGTCATACATTGCAATGGTAACCAAGAAAGTTTATAATATTGTGTTTTTGTTTCCTTATGAGTTTGCGATTTGTTTCTTATGATGTTGTCATTTTGTTTTTTTAGTAATAATCGAATATATTTTACTTAATCTATTGCTCTTTTGGCATGGAAAGCTAGGAAGTCGGGAAGCCATTAGTGATAGAAGAAGCGAGAGATGACTCCTCCTCAACTTATGGAGGTTCATTTAAAGATACTCTTCACCTCTCGTCTAACATATTAATGTTTATTTGTGGGAAGCCAAGGTGATTCACATTTTCTATTATGATTTGCTTTTACAATCTGGGGTTTTCTAGTTGTGTTTTTAGAGATTGTCACTATAATTAACATCGTTAATTTGTCAAATTGCGAGGGCAAACCCCATTGTTTCCTCACATATTTGGTCATGAAGCAACGGGGTATGAATTTGAGCGACTATAAGTCTTTTACTTTTTTATATAGACAAACTATTTTTTATTTTGATAGTCGGGATTTGGGGTGACTAATTTGATATTTTTTTTTCTTTATCTTTTAGGATTGTTGAAAGTGTTAGTGAGAGAGTGATAGAACTTAAACCTAGTGACAACATACTTCATGTCTTCACGGGAGAGTGTAAGTAATGCCGATGTTGAGAATCGGAGGAAAGTAATATATGTGATGTTCTTAAGATTAATAGTGATAGAGGTGTTATGATGAATGATGGAAAGTCTAGGTTTTCAATCAAAGGGCAACCTATTTACCACTTTATTGGTACCTCAACCTTGGTTATTGAAAAGAATGTAATTTGGTTTGTTGAACAAATTGGATATGTCTTTGTCCTCATGATTGCTAGGGCAATGATTCTTGGTCCCGACTAGCCTCGTGATCCTTCACATGTTTGATATCCCACCTACAATCGAGGCATTGGATGGTGTGAAGATCGAGTTGGTAAGTGTGGTATTTCTTTTTCTTAAAGGTATTTGCCATTCATGTATCTTTTCAAAATGCCAAGACATGTTAAAAAATATTTCTTTTATATGAAATCTTGGATTGTGAGAAATCGGTTGTGTGATTGTGAGATCCGACCCAAAATTTACAATAGGTGTTGTTGTTACAACCGATCTTGTGGAGGGTCGCATTGGGGCTAACATTGTAGTGATGGTTGGAAGCTTCCCAAGGAAGGAAGGAATTGAGAGAAAATATTTGATGTCTAAAAATGTGTCAATCTATAAGTCACGGGCTTTCACTCTTCGAAGCATGTTGTCGCAAACTGCAAAGTTATATATACTTCAAAGAAATAACAAATAGAACTATGTGCTTGAATATTTTGTTTAAATGATCTTTAGATTGTATATAGTCAAATAGAAATGCATGTTTTATTATTAGGAGAAATTCATGAGATGTGTTGAATTATATAGGAAATGCAAACTTAGTATCACTCTCATTTTGGCACTAGCTTATCATCTACCACATCGCAATTTCATGGTAGTATGTAACAAGATGATGAGCAATACGACAATAGCTCCAAGCAAAAATAAATTATGATTGGACTCGGTGCATCTAGGTGATCTAGAAGAAACACAAGGTCGAATACCGACTTTCCAAGCAAAAGCAAGCAACAACATAAGCAATAGATGCAAATGATGTAGTAGACATTACGAGAAAATACAAACCGGCATTGAACCACCCTTCCCTCCTCCTAACCCTCTCCTTGCCCAAGAATCGTTGGATGATGATGATGACCATCATCATGTACCCCTTAGATCAGATTGGCCTTTTTTAGACTTAATTTTTATTATTTTTCATACAATAGAGCCCATTTGTATATATTTTATTTGATTTTATATTATTTTTATTTTACACAATAAAATTCCGTGTTATAATTTCATTTTTAGTTGTTTGTTGTTATAATTAAATATTAAACCACTAATAACAAATTAAAAAAAAATTGCATCTCCTACATTAACGACGAACAACAACCTACTAGCAACAAAAAAGAAAAAATTAAATTACATCAATTACCAACATATAATTATGAAAACTATCGGTAGATTACCAACCAAATGGAGACAAATTAGTAACGAAAAATTCACAAAAGAAATTTCGTTATGACAACATATATATCGCTAATTTCATCACATTAGCAACAAACACACTTCACTATGGTGACATTTGGTCGGTTGTTGAATTAGCGATGGATTCTAATTTCTATCGCTAAAATTATTAGTGACAAACATTTTACTCGGTGGATTGGTGTTGTCGTCATTCGTCTTTAAAAGAAAATAATGACAGAATATATAGGTTTAGCGACGGATTAAAGGCTTAATTTTTTATAGTGCACATACAAAATAAATAAAATATGCGATGGACTTGTTGTAAGCCTTTCAATGCATATTAACTACTTGCGAGCTTGTCATGAGCCTCTTTATTCAACTAGTTAAAAATAGTTGCAAACTTGTCAGGAACCTTCTTACTCAACAAATTGAATAAAAATGCTTGTAGGCTTATATATAACATAAGTATCATATCATAGTTGACAGAAGTTGTAGTAGTCTAGATTTATTTAAAACGTCTGAATCACTAAGATGATCTAAAAGTATTTTTAGAGTGGATTTTGACATTAAAAAAAATATTTGATAGGTTTTTGGTCACCACCAAGTTGTAGATCTTTGAATCAATTTTTTGAATTGATAAAGTTTGCGTTGAGCAGACACTCATATAAAAATTACAACCCGTTAACTTAGTAGTACGCATTGGTCTTCTTATACTGTCTTTCTCAACTTTCTAAATCCAAAAAAAATTATTAATAATGTTACAAAAATTTTACTTACCACCAAATATATATAATAATAACTTTCAAACAAAATTTTTGCATAATAAATCGTGGCTTCGAGGAGGTTAAATTTCATGTTTTTTTTTCCTTCTCTCTTTTTGTATGCAAAAAGAAAAAAATTGATAGGCGTTTAATCAACGGTCAAACTGATCGCACAAACCAAAAAATTATACTATTCATGCAAACCAACAACAACCTCCCAAATTTATTTTATTTATTTATTTGTGTGTTGGCAAGGCTTTCAATAAGGATGGCAATAGGACGAATATAAAACGGATATTTGTCCATTGCCATCTCTAGCTGGCAATAATTTTCCAACCACATAATTTAGTCTTGCTAATTTAGTTTGGTCCTTGTCCAGCTATTTCAATTTAACTCTCTGAAGTCACACAAATTTGGCATTGTCAATTCATCTTTGGTCCTTGTCTAATTGTATTAATTTAGTCTTGCCACTCTAATGTTTTTATTTTTTCCTATTACATGCTAATCTTTTTTTAAAAAAAAATTTAACTTATATACTCAAGATTTATGATAAAACTAGTCGACTAGGATTTTAACTCGTTGCATTACAAAGACCACTGCTACGACTTCAACCTCTTTCGTCATGGCAGTCTTTTATCATGCCAATTTTTTTATTTTCTTTGTTACGCGCTGGTCTTTTATCATGCGAAGTGACCTGCCACTTGCTATGCTACGTGCCCTACTGCCTGACAGTTCTTGAAACACATTGGACTTTTTGTTCAATTCATGATCATCTACATCTTGATCGTTTCATAATGTCGTGCTGTCGTCCTGTCATATATAAGAAGAGATGCTATATCTTGGGGGAGAGATTAATGTTGATACTTGATCTCAATCACAAGTTGTTCTCTGTACATAATTTATCCCTTGCTCCAAGTCAGCTTGATTCTCTGTTTCAGAATTTCTTGGTGGAAAGCAATGGGGAATTGTTAGCATCGATCGGGACTCGCGGAGAGCAACGCATTTTTATCAAGGAAAACATTTTTCAAAGAAACTGGTGTCCCGACCTTTCAGAACTTGAGATATAGAATGTTGTACATCAGCTACGGTGCAACCATTTCAGAGCAAGCAATTGAGAGAGCCACCAGCGATAAGATTTCTTTCCAAAAGTCCTAGACAACAACTGCATATTTTACTCACTCGTTGCTAGAAAAAATCAGTTCTTTTCCGGGAATTATTCTAGTGGAATTCCACGCAACTTGCAGGAATTAAGGAATTGTATCACTTGTTAATCTAATGTTTCTCTTTATGTTAAAATCTCTTTATTTTTTTACACATGACATTTAGATTGGATTAGACTATTTAATTCTGAAGATGATTTTTAAGAGTTTGAAATTTTGAAATTAATTTATAATATTTTAGTCGTAATTTAATTTGTTATTCTTAAAATATCAATGCTAATAATTTTTTTTTCATTATAAATATTGCATCATATTATATATAAACACTCCGGAAAGAAACGCTAAGGTGCTCTCGCACAGAAAATTTCATATCAACAACAAAACCAGAACGGTTGCCGGAAAAGGATTGACGACATTGCTATGGACAGAAATATAAGGGTGATTTAAAGAATAAAGATTATACTTATCTGTACAGCAATATTACAACATTGAACCATCAAAAACTTCATCTCTGCCAATAAAAATGCATGACCTCCACCAACCAAAAACTGGAAGTCTCAACATGTGGCACTGGAAAACCATTCCAGGCCTACATGACATCCATTTAAATGATGAGCCTTAATGACTTTCATCTAAGTAAATCTGCATAAGCATCAAGGCCATGGCTGCCAACACACCGCCTAAGCTTGTACAGTGCTCGGCTCTCCAGTTGCCGCACCCTTTCTTTAGACAACCCAAACACGTTACCAATCTCTGAAAGTGATTTCTGTTTGCCATCCTCAATGCCGAACCTTAACCTGATTATCCGTCTCTCTTTTGGGCTGAGAATGTTTAGGAGTCCAAGAATATGCTTTCTCATCAGTTGCTTTGCCACTCTCACATCTGGTATCTCAATTTCTTTGTCAGCAGTTATCTCCTGCAATAGAAGAAGGAAATGCATGATTTCTACAAATTCTCAGAGCAATTTTCAGAATATTGTTCTGATTAAGGACCCGTGCCAAGTAAATATTTGACAGAGCAAATCATTTGCCACTTTTCAAATCATCTTTTGTAAACAACTTAATGTTCCAGCTGTGATATTTTTTCTTTTGAGGGGAGCCGTGTTCATGTTTGAATTACTCGCATAAGATCATTTGTAGAACGGCCTCATAGCATTACTGTACGCTACAGACACTGGACAAATTAGTTAGGGCCTTGATGGGGATTTCAAACACAATAAATACTTATATTATGTCTCTTTCCCACTGGCATTTTCTATTTAAAGCTCGAGAATGTGGATGTTAAATAAACACAAGATTTAGTTCAAAAGACAAACATGGAAAATGAGATAGCAAAGAAGCATTTACTTGAAAAGTAGTATTTTGGTCCGACCACACAGTTTGTTGCATTGAAATTGGCGTTCTTGTAAAACATAGCAACTTTTCCAACTTGTCAACAGCTATTCCAACACGACTTGCTAATTCTTCTGTGGTTGGATGATGATTTCCTTCCTGAATAGACAACCTCTTTGCTTCCATTACCTTTCCTAAGAGGCCATAAACGTTTTCCTGCAAGGAAAACGTATTAGTTCTCAGCCAAGGGGATTAAAGCTCAACGTGCTTTTAAATACATTTTGAAGTTATAAATCATCAGGAATTCTGACAGTAAAAATCCAGCCATTATTAGAATATTAGCAAGAAAACACCATAATTTCCATGAAAAGAAAAGAACCGGAATAAATTTTGGTTCTCATCCTCATCAAGTTCAACAATCATAACTATTTACTGCTGCAATTATTAAAATTTTTGCACTCACCAGGGATGGTGAGAGATAAAAGAAAATGGAGAAAAATATGGACAAGTAATGCTTGTTGAAAAAGCAATTATCAGAGGAAGTTGTCATTACCGGTAAACGAATTGTCCTGGAATGTTGAAATATAGCCCTTCTAACAGATTGTCTTATCCACCAGTAAGCATAAGTGGCAAATCGGCAACCAACTTGCGGTTTGAATTTCTGAATGCTCTTCATAAGACCCATACTTCCCTCCTATGGCAGTTTTAGGAAAGAAAAAGAAAGCAGATTAGTTTGAGAATCACAATTCATGCTCATTCAGTCTACAGTTCAGAAAACACACTCCTTCAGACATTTTTATCCAGATATTCCCTTCTTCTTTTTTTATTTCCACAGAAAAAGAGCATGTTCAACAAGAAATATAATGATACCCCCAGATTGAGTGAATAGACATGCACCATGGCCCAGTCATACAGCAAAAGTTGAAGAGGATTATAAGCTATTTTCATGCACATGAATAGATGATCTAGTACAATTTCTAGTGTAGCTGCCATGAGCATCAAACAAATTTTTTGGGCAAAAAGGGTTCTTTAATATTTGCATCAGACCAAGCCTATAATATTTGCATAAACCATCCCCTTACTCAGACCACTACACAGAAAAAATGCAAGAGCATATTTTAATTATCTGATCCAGAAACTGAAATTTACATGTTTTATCTACACATTGATACAGGTAAATGCAACCTGTAAGGCAATACAAGTTTCAGCTAACCTGCAGTAAATCCTGAAGGACAAGACCACGGTTTTGATAACGTTTGGCAATGTGAACCACCATCCTTAAGTTTGCATTAATCAGCTTCTCTCGGCTGCGGTTACCAGAGTGAAGTTTTGACTTCAAAACAGGACAACTAAGCCCGACAGCTTGAGCCCATTCACCCAACATTGGTTCACGACCAAACTGAGATTCAAGCCTATTCTTCACCTCCTCCAAATTCATTAAATCCTGTTTCATATTTTCATGTTAATGGGAGAAAACAAAGGTTGTCCATAAATAAGCATCGTCTCTTTTTGGCAAGAACACTCAAGGAAAAAAAAATAGTACCCACTCCAATTTAAATTAGATATGATTCGGAAATACACCTGTACTTGAGCAATCAGTTCAAACTCTTCTTTAGCAGTCAAAAGTTGTTTTGTTTCAGGCCCCCACAGGAACAATCTAAGGGGATCATTTGGATCAAATCCTTCACTTGGCCTTTTCTGTAAATCAGCACTTTTAGACTTATAGGTCTCATAAACCATATCTTTTGTTTTTGGCACCCTCCGATTTAGAGACTGCCTCTCTAAACGCCGTCTTGATCTTACAATTTTCCCCTCCTCAAGAGAAAAATTAGATGAACTGGAAAAGTTTATATATCAGTCCCGAAACAAAAGTGTTTGGAAGTTAGGTTAATTAATGGGCAAACAAACCTAGTGGAAGCCGAATTATCAAGATCAGTGGAGTTATCAGCAAGTAGAGCCGCATCTTTTGAGGCTGACAAAGCTCTCTTAGCGAGGTTAATAACATCAGTAGGTTCCACATCCATTAGCTTGTCAGTACTAGTAGTAACAGATTGCATGGTCAAGGGCAAGGATGGATCTTGCCCTTTTTGTAAAAGTGTCAATCTTCAACAGAAAATAGAGCACCATGTAAGAATGCCATCCAGGACAATAAGTGACAATCATAAGAAATTGGAGCAATTATAAGGAAATGAAGATCTATTCATCTTACGTATTCCAATAATCAGGCAAATGATGCAATTGGTACTCAAAGTTTTGTACCAGCTGGTCTAACTCATCAGAGTCCTTCCCTTCATGACCTGATGTCCCAGCCTCTGTCTTCTTCCTATCCAATGTTCCCTTGAATGAAACGGAGAAAAATAAATAATTTATAATGCACAAACTAGGAGTTTCTATAGACAAAAAGATTGCATGAGACTATTAGCAAGCATGGCAAGGCCCCTTTTTTCTTTTTAAATTACACAAACAAGGATACCTAACATTTGAAACTCCACAGATTCCTCAATGCAAGCACTTATACTGTAGGCTTATGCAATAAGGTAAAGAATCAACGTTAAAACACAAATGTCTTGCTATATTTGCATCTCCTCAATATTTTAGTTTGGTAAATTGTTCAATGAAAAGCTAACCTGAGAAGCTCTATCTTCCTTGAATATGTTCAAGAGAGGTCTAAACTCATCACGCTGCTCTTGTAAAAGAACTGAAGTAGGAAAATGTTGAGCTATAGAAGTGGTTGGAATAGAAGTAACAGCAGGAGTTGGTTGTTCCCGATGTATCAGAACTGCAAAATTAAGAGCATAAACAACTAGTAATATTTTCCTAAACCCATTAACTAATTTCTAAAACACCGAGGAAAACAAGCATAATTTATAGTAAATATACAACAAAACTTCACTCAACATGCAAGTTAATTGAAAAGAAAACAACAATGGCCTTGGCAACAGTTGGACAATCCCATTATGTTGAATTGCACCCATGAAAGCCAATGATGGCCTGATGGGCTTTTCTATAATCTTAAAGTAATAAACATTCCGTGATAAAATAAAATAAAAAGAGGAAAAAATACATAGAAAGGAAGGTCCTTTCAGGCGATTAAGAAACAGTAGGAAATAAATGAAAAGATTCAAACTTACAATAACTTTAGCAACCGAAGAAAGAGAGCTAAATAACAGACATAGAACTTTAAAAAAAGTTGCCAAAGTTTCAGTAATTCAGAGGTTACCTGAAGAAGAAACAGAATTTTTAAGGAGGGTTCTTGTAGGAAAAGGTGGAGGTGAAGAAAGCAAAGTCCTGCCAGCCTCCATTTCACTGAATTCTGATAACAACCAAATATCATACACTCCACTAAACAAGATATTATATTTTTCTTGGATAAAGGAAGAAGCAGAGAAAGCCAGAGGGAGGGGAGGGCTGCATTGAGTGACTAATTTCACACCTCAAAATGGGATTTTTGCAGAGGATCAGGTTGTTGTGCCGCTTCCACTTCCCTTGTCGTTTCATTACAAAACTAAGCAGGCTCTCATCTGTTGTCGTTTAAGCCAGTATAAAGTGAAAATCCAAACCCATTAGTTTTGCCCACTTTCTAGGCATTATGGTCTGTAGCCCAAATTGATGTATATGGACATCTTTTTCTTCTTTATGGGCTGACAAACTAAGGAATGGCATTCCCATTAGAAGTCTAACATTTCTATTAATTTGTAGGTATTTTCATTTTCTTAATTATCCATTGATTGTCTCAACATTCTGATTATATACACACATATGCAATAAATAAATAGAAGAGGGGCTAGATAGATGAAATATTGAATTTAAAAGAATATTCAATAAGTTTTAAAAGAACCAACGTCCTTCTCCTTTTTTTTTTTTTTCCAAACAAGAAATTATATTTTATTTTTATGAATGATCAAAAACATCAAATTTATGTTTTTAATTGTATGCAATAGTTTTCAAAATAATTGCATTTGAATATTAGAACGAGTTAAGATATAGTCAATGTCAAAATTAGTTTTGAATTTATTACGATCGAATTATGATATTTTGATTAGTGGAGAAAAGCGAGTTTATTCTGTTACTGTAATCTTATGTTGCCTGAGTTTTAATCATATCAATCTATGAAAATTAAACACATAACTAATTACAAAATGCATAAATAAATAAATAAATAATAATGATTTACAAATAAATTTTTTATACAAACTTATTACTGTGAAAGCGATAAATGGCGGATTCCATAAATTTTAAGAAAAATAAATTACAAACAAACCTTTCATACTAAATTTCCATTCAAACTGATGTATATACATAATAAAATATATATCCTATAAATCTCTCTCTATATATAAAGTAATTGTCATATGTGTTTATATGATAATTTTATATTAAAAAATTTGTTTATATAGTATTTACAAATTTAAGTATTGATGAGTCATGAAAGACTCGTCCAATAAAAAAATAAAACGAGGCTCAAGTAGGCAAAATGGGGATTTGATATCCAGAATGAATGTTGGATGGTTCTTTGAACTAGATGCCTAACAAATTTGTCTGATTGGATGGAAAATCCTCCGAAAATCAAATTAGCAGTCGAAAAATAATAAATTAGTCTGAAAAAGCATTTTTGTCTGATTAGATGGAAAATCCTCCGACGATGAAGTTAGCAATCGAAAAGTAACAAATTAACCTGAAAATGCATTTTTTTTAAAAAAAAGCTATTTTGAAAAAAAATATTTAATTGTTAACATCATTAAAGAATCTTTATCAAATGTTTGTTTGTTTGTTTTTTTTTTTTTTTTTTAGAATTAGTTAGAGAGAAAGCGGCGTCTTTCTTTCTCAAGCCAAGACACCTTGAAATGGAAGACATCTCAAGTTTTTTTTTTTGGAGACGGTTTGCTTTGTAGGGGTAGCGGTCCCTCCTGAACCCGTCTGATTTGTCATTGTCCTATGCTGAGATTGATGAAACCGAGTTGGGTTTGATAGTTTTAATATTGTGTGTTTACGAATTCTCTTTGTTAGATTGTGTAATGACGAGAGCACGTATGACATTACCTTATTTACCAAAAGATAAGAACCAAATCACAAATCCAGGCATGTTTATATCTAGACTGCTAAAATAAGTTTTGCGTTATTAATGTCGAAAAGAAAAGATCAAGACAACCAAGTTTTTTGTCAATCATCTAAAGCACGCATTCAATTGTTTTCCATTAAACAACGACATGCTAGATATTCATGACAAAAGAATAACTACACGTTAGATATGGCTGCCTATTTTGGAGCGTTATAGGAGTATTTTTACTCTCTTATCTGACAATGATAATTGCTTACCAATGAAAACTATTATTGTACTGTATGACAAATTATTAATATTTATTTTATAAATCTATTTTAAAGAGAGAGATAAATGCAAACATGAAAGATAAAATTACCTTTGAATCCATTAAAAATAATAAAAATATTTTTATTTAAATTCAAAAAATATATATATATATATAATGCGAAAATGCATCCAACGAAGAGAATTCCTTTCAGGTTCTCTAATTAAAAAAAAATCAAATGATAAAAAAATATATATTTAACTTCAAATATTAAGTTCGAATAGCTTTTTTAAATAAAAAAGAATATCTAATATTCTTTAAAAATATGATAAATTCATTAATATATCTTTATACATTATTCAAAATCTTCCGTATGTTCCTAGAGTTCTAATTACATCTTACATGTTTCTAATTTTTTTTTAAAATATTTAATTTATTATTTCAATCAATTTTTTTCAACATAAAAAATTTGTTTGATTGAAATGTTCATAATTAAAATGAAAATAAAATAAAATATTAAAAATAAAACATACTTTTAGTCTTTTTTTTTTACATTTTAATAAATGATTTTTTGATAAAAAAAAATTGTTTATGGTCGAAAATTTTGATCATAAAAAAAAAATTGAATATTTTTAAAACAATCTAAATACAATTAATAATTTAAAAACAGATAATAAATTTTAAACATTATATTTACACAAATTAATGTATCTACCTTTGAAAATATATCACTTTGGTACCCACGTAGTTGTCACGTGAAATTCCAGCGTTTCCTATCGGCCTTGTAGTTATCTTATACATCTCAAACAAGTCAAGTGGTCCCCATCCAGATAAGGTGCGTTTGTCTGCGGGCTCCGCCAACTTTCCAAGTAAGCTATGGCCCACTACTATAAAAAGAATCCCCTCTCTCTCTCCCTGTTGCAGGGTCAATAGAGTCAAACCTCAGACAAAGTCACCGCTGTTGCTGTCTCTTCTTCTTTCCCTTGCACAAACCCTAGCTTCAATCTCTCCTCAAATAACTCCACCAAAAGCCCATTATCCTCCATCCTCATGGCTTCTGAAATGGTTCTCTACAACTTCTCCTCCGCCTCAAACACCCAACAGCAGCAGCAGCTGCAAAATCCAAACCTTAGCAACATCGACAACGCCGTGGTCCCCACAACCACCCAAGCACCAACTGGTGGGTCCCACTCTAAGCTGGCCCACCCTCGCAAATCCAGTGCCTCGCAATCCAAAGACCGCCACACTAAAGTCAATGGCCGTGGCAGGAGGGTCCGGATGCCCGCTTTAACAGCGGCCCGAGTCTTCCAGCTCACCCGTGAACTCGGCCACCGCTCCGATGGCGAGACCATCGAGTGGCTCCTTCGCAATGCTGAGGCATCGATCATCGCTGCCACCGGCACCGGCACTACCCCCTCCATCCCCATCTCCACCACTGTCGGCTCCACCCCGATTTCGGCGTCTCCGCCGTCTATTTCCTGCAAGGTCCACCCCGCCAACTGTATGGACCCCGAGATGTTCCCTCTGACGACACCCAGCTGTCGGCTTGACTTGGATTACAGGCACATGCCATTTACGGCTTTGTTGCTGCAGCCACTTTCGGCGACTGCGGATGTGGAGGCGGAGGCGGGTCGGCAGCAGGAGGTAACTGGGGAGCACAAGATGTAGGGCTAACTCTGCATCAAAACAGACACAAGTGGTAGTAGTAGTAATGGATAGGGCTATGTAGTGCTACTACTACTACCATTAAGTAAGGTTTAGGGTATTAGGTGGTGGGGCCTATTGTTCTCGTGTTTAATTAATTAATACACATACCAGTTTCTCTCTTTCTCTTTTAAGGGTTGGAACTGAAAAGGGGAAGAAGAAGAAGCTGTAAATAAGTAGTAGTACTCCATGGTTTGGTTAGGTTAGGTTTGTCATTATGAAGTGTATAATCTATTTTTGCCCCTCCTGGCTGGAGTGGTGGCTGCTCTAGAATAGATGGTCGACTGTAGTGGACCACTGTTTTCAATGTAGGCTACATCTGGAATTGGACCCACCATTTGTTTATTAAGCATCTCTCTCTTTTTCGGTCACTCAAATCACCTTTTTACTCTTGTCTATCAGGCAAAATTAGAGATTCTTCTGGTTTTGCTATCAGGCTTTTCACCTGCTAATTTAAATTTTCTCCATATATGTTCTTTGGTTACCTTCTCAGGATTGGAGACTGAGTAAGACTCTTTGTATAGCTTCTAGTTCACCTAAATTTGGGTTTCCTTTGGACCTGACCTTCCTCCTAAATTGCTCTAAAAGATTGCAGATTTGAGATTTTGTACATAGATATGGGCGAGACGAGACTGAAAAGAAATATTTGAGAGCAAGAGCCCTAGCCATCCATTTCCTGACAGACGGAGCACATCAAATGACTACAAGACAAAAAAAAACTAAAAAATGCAATTGCGTTTGCAAATTGTAAGAACCGACTAGGGTGGTTCGTTGGTGGTGCTATAAGAACTAGTGAAACCTTATGCAAATCTCATCAGGAACAAACATGCAGGAATAAGAAAAAAAGGACTGGAAAGATAAATACACCAAAATAGCTCTATAATCCTTATAACAATGGGAATAAAACGTTATCAAATCAATAATAATTATAAGTCCCCCACCAACTTTTGAGTTTTGATTGTCACGAACCATGAAGTATTATCAGGTAAAGAATCACACTTTCCTTGCACGTGAAATCCCCCAACCAAACAACTTATCTGAAGCTCCACCGAAATATGCATCTCGCTGTCTCCATGCATTAAAAGAATAAACAGTGTACTTGTATGATTTTTTTCTGTTATTTGAGAAAGATTTGACATGCAATTCCACATGCAAAATTTGAGGCATAAAAGTGTCTCCAAGAAAAATACAATACACTCATATAATAACTGATCCAGACAAGTATGGCTTAAATTTATAGAGAAAGATACAACTTTCGCACCAAGGAGGCTGCACGTGCATGTTTTAATAGCAAGCACAGCAGCAAGAGAATATGGGGGAGTCCTCAAGATTACCAGCGATATATCTAGTTCTTATTCCCAAAATTCCACCACCTTTTCTTCTTTCTGAATTCACTAGATGTATCTGTATCAAAACCGCAAAAAGAGATGAATTATTCTCGCAGGGACATCATTATAGATATGCAAAGTTACCAAATTAGACTTTGTACATAAAACCAAAATTATTGTCACGTTGGTGAAGGAGAAAATGATACAAAACCAAAGTTAGGCTTGTCAGAAGTAAGCAAATTCAGTTCAACACTAAACTTCTCGTCAGTCGCAAGAAGTTCAGTTCTGTTTATAATCAACTTTGGCCAAGCATTCCATTGCTCTTAGTTTTTAACTCATGCCCTTTGCCCAATAAATGAGAAGCAAAACAAATAAACAATAATTACCTCCTTGAAAATAGATGGAGTTGTAATGTACCTCTGCCCAAAAGCTCAAGCAAATGACTGCAGAAGGAACCCAAAATTCTTCATCAAAACCTTTTCAACAAGCTTAAAAATTCCACATAAATTTTTACATTCTAAACATATAATTTCATTGGGGTTTACAAGTAATGTACAAGCAATAAAACTAACATTAATACAATGCTATTATTGTTTGAAAAAGAAATCTAACATGGTAAGAATAGCAGACTGGGATGAGACCAAATCAGTTGCCGTCAATCATTTAAGATCAATTATATTGTATGTGGACTAATTAGGACAGCACACGTTATGATCAGTTTCAGTTTTTTCTACCTTGGTGCTTGTGCATACAGAAAGAGAGAAGCAATTGTAGCAATCAGATAGAGTTTTTACTTCTATTCGTCTGTAAAGTAGAATATGGGTAAAGCAAGTCACCAATTGTTGAAGGTTAAGGCAAGCAGGGAGGAAAAACAACACATACAGATCATGGTCTAACAAAACAATCACTCATATTTTTTACGTTCTATCAGGCATTGGTAAAAGTATCAAGGTAGCAATCAAACAAGCAATATTTATTACCATAACCAATTGTCAATATATATATTAGAAACTTGAAAAAAATATGATCAAGGAAATAACATCCTAGAAAGGAAGATAACAGATAAGATGAAGGAAAAGGAACTTAAATTTTTCAGTACAACAATACCTCCTTTTGACTTTTCGCTGACAGGAAGAATCTCTATGTAACATGTGTCCTTGAAAGAAGTCATGACGAGTATTTTCACACCATACTGCAATAAAATACCCAAGGGTATAAGCCATGGAAAAATTGCATAGACTGTTACATTTGTCTTAGAAAACGAAACTTTGCATAAAGCTTTAAGAAAGAGCATTTATGCGAAACTGAGGAATAGAGGCAGGATGTGGTTTCACCAGATCAGGTAAACTATAGTCACAATGCATCTCAAATAGGGGAGGCAATTGGCAAAATGCTCTAAGAACAAATAAAACAAAATCAATGTCCTTCGGGAACAACGTCAAGCCATTAAACCAAAAAACAAAAGGTCAACTACAGTTGATATAATCCATACCGAATCCGCAGCTGCCTGCAATGTCACATGATCACCCCACTCGCCACTCCTAGCATCATCCAAAAGCAAAGGGTATTTGTCTATTAGAATCAACACACAAGATTCTTTATAGTTTATGAAATAGAATAAGCAAAGAGTTCCATTATTACTTTGACATCTTCCTCAAATAGTCACCATACTCCATGGGAACATATCCCTCGTATATCTCCGGGTGAGATTTAAGCTGGTGATTATAAACCATTATAAAAAAATATGTTAAGATCAATGAGATCTAGATGTATACATTACAACTCAACTTCAACCACTGATAATAAGGTAGGGAATCAAACAAACCTGATACACAACCCGTCGTCTTATAATTTTGTGGCGATCAGGTGTATTATATATTTGATCTGATAAAGCACGGAACTGTAATGTGAAAGTTTTAGAAAATAAATATTCAAATGTCATCATTAATTTCCAAATAAGCACTTTGACAAGCAGGATCAACAACAGCAACAATAATAATAAGGATTTTTCCAATATGTGGTCCCAAGGGCATTCGTGAATATCAATAAATGGAAAGTTTCTCCATAACTAGCAGCAACAAATTATGGATTAAGATTTTATCAATTATGGAAGTGAAGACCTTCCATTAATTGATATATTAATTGATATAGACGTGTACCTTTAGGGCCCATCTTAGAAAAAAAAACCCTAATAATAATCCATTTAGGGTAACATCCCATAAGGAGGTCACCGTGAAGATACTCAAAAAAGAAACAGAAAAGGGAAAAGTAACCTGACAGTTTCCATCCCCTTGAACCTTAAGCTCATCAAAGCCATATAACTGCAGTCTGGATTAGTGAGAACAATAGTTTAACAGCACGTTGTATCTTCCAAGGTTTAAAAAATAAATAAATAAATAAAAGAGTTTGAAAAAAAAATGATTGCTATGTTATCATAATAATATGCCTATAGAACCCATTAACTGAACTAACTCCCAATTGGACAAAATGAGGCAAGACGAGGTTTTGCTTTATCAGCAGCAATAATATATGTACACAGTACCTGTTCAGAAGCCTTTCATGATCTGAGGTTGCTTCATCAATTGATGGAATTTCTCCATTAATTCTTGGAACATGCTGCGAAGCATGAAAATGAAATTTTGGCAGGTTATACGCAAAACCAACAGCAGGGGACATGATATATCCTTGCAAGCAGATGCATGGACACACCTAATCTATTTTTCAACAAGCTAGTTCTACCCATAGTTGTACAAGAAAGCTACAGTTCATAAAGATTGTCAACACGAAGTGCCATATGATACACCACCCCAAGATCTTATGATGCAAACGAGCACCAATAGATGCTAACATGTAACCGCTATGATGCACCTTACCCTGAACTTAATCGCATACCATCTAAGTTGCACAGGAAAAAAACCAACAATACACCACGCTTAAATGCGTGTTTGAACAAGGGTTGACATTCTCTCACATTAAAGAACTACAGATTGTGTTGATTGTCTTTCGCCATAATATGGCAGTCTATCCAAAGATAGTTCCTAAAGTATAAATTACTTTGTCCGACTTTCGGTGCTTGGAACATTAAACTGGTAAAACACTGGATATGGCTCAGGAAATACACTGGATAATTTTCCTGAATTAACTAACTACTTTAATGCAATCACCTTGACATTAAAGACTGTAATTGGCGAAAAAAAAGAAAAAATGCAAAAAAAGAGGAAAGGTTATAAATGACTACATGATATGTCCGGGTTGCATGGGATTGGGAATAGAATGAGTATCCTGTTCCACTACTTGTGAAATATAGTTTAATTTGTCAATAATAAGGATAATAATTCCACCACAAAGGAAACGTTTTATATTCACTGGAAAATTTACTTCTTTTATTTGTTATTTGGTAGAACTAAAACCCTAAGACAAGTAAATTTAATTAAATAAAGTTAAACATAAATTTTATTTGGAATGCTATTCCCAATTCCTAAGGGAAGTCAAACACGACCGAAGTCTCTCAATTTCCTCAACCAACAGAAACAAAAGACCATCATGATGATCTAAAGCAGCTGAACTTACACGGATTGGAACCAACTGATTCAACCTCTTGCCTACTTCATCATCCAGCTCATATTCATCGGTGAATTCTGGTGAATAGGAATACTCTTCTCCATCAGCAGGACTTGAGCATGAACTAGAGGGTACTGCATCATCTGATTCTTCACGACTACACTCATTGTCTGCACATTAAAAACATCAAGTGAAACCAACATAAGAAATTTCCAACCACAACGAATGAAAGCAAGCAAAAGGATCGGCTTAACCATAAACCTAAACAGTAGTTCCTCGTCGGTGTACATTGCCAATCATGCTCATCAACGGAAGTCTGCAAGTGCTCTTCCCCACCTTCTCCGCCATGTGAATATCCATTGTCTTCAGTAACTGCAAGCTGCAAAAACTCCTCTTGCAACGTGCGCGCAATCATCTCATCACTCTCTACATGGCTACAATCCCTAATATCATAATGATCCCTCACATAATGTCCATGATATCCGTCATCACTCTGCACTATTCCATCACCATAGTACCCAGAATAAAAGGGTGGGTCCCCATCAAGAAGACGAAGACCCCATCGAATAACATCCGAATCTTGCTCGTAAATAACCATCTTTCTACCACCAAACCAATCTCCTCTGCCCAAAACCTGAATTGTTACATCAACTTCGACCCATCAGAATTCAAATTTAAACAGCACCAGAGTATCCATCCATCTTTGCAAATACTCAAAATCATTTCCATAAATAAAGATCGCTACCAGTTCAATGCAAACACAAATCGTTTAATTAACTTCTGTCTATTTTAGCAGACAACAAGATTTGAACAAAATAACATGATTATCTTAAACCAAAACAAGAAATCGCAACAAACAATCAAACATTAGATTAAATCAAATCAAATCAAAGAACAAGCAAACGTAAAGTACTTACCTGATTAAGAAATGGAAAGACAGATAAAAAATAAAAAATAAAACAGTACAGGCAGGTTTATGTCAAGTGTAATGGAGAAGACGGAGACAGAGAACTAGTGAAGGAGATAGCTATGGAGCATTTGATTTGAACAAGGAAACTACTAACAAAATAAATAAAATGGGAAAGAGGCGCATTTTTCGTGTTTTTATTATACAATGTTTGCCGCGGCTGTTAAATGTCGAACTTTTTCGAACCAAAGCACTGTAATGCCGTGGATTAATGGTCTGGATTTCCTTCGAGTGGATGTCATTTTTTACGGTTGCTTACCTTCAACAAGCTTTTTCTTTACCGTTAGATCACTGGGGGCGGAATCTCAGTACAGATGATCTACGGTTCATATGATAATCCATAATAAATCTTACCAATCTTTTAATCTTAGTTTATAAGTAAGATTGATTTCTTTTTGCGTATAAAAATTGGTTTTGAGAATACTTTTAGTCGTAAAACAAAAAGAAATAGATGGTATTCTCCTTTACGCATATTAATATTATGTCCGTTTTCTTAAAAGTCAAAGATGAAAGCTGAAAATTTTTTATAAAGAATTATTTTTTTTAGCCTAAATTGGTAGACTGATCGCATGAATTCTGTATTGTGTGCCTGCCTACACACCATGTGATGCAAATTAATGGTCCTGATACCGCCACAACGACATTTTTTTCATTAAATAGAAACCAACGAACGCACTTGATTGTTAAACGTCAAGAGATTAACATTAATAATTAATAAGATTAAAAAAATTATATTATAACAATAAATTAAAATAATTATCGCCATCAGACATCAAGATCATCGTCACAAAAATAAAAAGATATTCTAAAAAAACTTGAATATATGATTTTTTATAGGTATAAAAGACTCACAATTATTAAATTAAAAAGCATGCCGATTATAACCATGACTTCAATTTTTCAATGATAGTGATTTCGTATTTTTTGTATAAATTGGCTGCTATGATAGCTTATTCAATGAATGTAATGACCATTATAATGAATTTTGCAACCTTTCCTTGTCAAGACTTTTGTATTACTTAAAATATTATGCTTGGAATTCAATTTTACCTATCAAAAATTCTAATTTTAGGTGTCAGAAACTACGAAGAATTTTTAGTTTATCTAGAAGTCTTAAAAAATCTTAAACTACGTAACAAAAATAATATTTTCTCAAACAAAAACCAATCTTATCTGGTACACTGATCATCAGACCAAACTTATGTGCCAGTCTACATGGTTATTTAATTTAATTGTGTACTATAATATACTCATATACTTTATTATATGTAGGCAAGTGTGAGCACGTGTATGGCACTAATTGCCCTAGTTAATCTTTGAATTATCTATACAACGTATGCCCACCAATTTTGAATTATTTGGAGATAAAAGCAAATGCCATTTGTTCGGTTACATGACAAATTTATCGTTAATTTAATCTAAATGGCATGGTATACGATATCTAAATGTAAAAAATCACGATTCATTCATTTGTAGTTTGCTTGCAGCCGGACGGTGATGACTCTAATTGAAAAATGATAAGAAATTTATTATTATTATTTGCTGTATGTGTAATGAACTAGATGTATTGCCATATTATTTTATCGTAATAAAAGTTTTTAGATAATTATATTATAAAATTTACTAGTCAAAAAAATATTTACAATTAAATTGGTATCTCATATATTAAATAAGTGAATTTCGTTAATAACTCTTATGAATCAAATAGTTGATGTTTTTTTTATAAGTGAATTCTGTAAAACAATCATATAAGAATAGCATTGTTCTTAATGTAAAATAATAATAATAATGATGATAATGAATGATGTTTGAAAAGGAAACGAATGGCTGCCATCGCCAAATTCTTTTGCTGGGAATAGTTATTAAGTAGTAATTTTTTATTTTTTTCCAAAGTGAGGAACCAATTCCAACCTCAAATATTTTTAATAGGTTTGCTTGAATTTTAAACTTTGAGACGTATGACTTCTTATATATAAAAGATGAATTTTTAGTCTTACCATAATTTACAAAAAGATATGAAAAGTGTTAACATGAAACTTCATAATGATGAGATTATAGATTTTATCAAAAGTTAGTGTTAATACAAAGAATCCCTCTTTATCAATCAATATCATTTCTTATATTAACAATGAGATAATTTTCTTTCACAAAACCATTTAAATTGGAGGTTTTGAGGGTTCTTTTTTCCTTGAGTCGTTATGTTTTATTTTTTATGTTTTAAAATTTTTTTGATCAATTTTAAGGATGTAATTTTGAAATATTTGATTTCAAATTTAACATTATTTTAAATGGTTATAATATATAAATCTTCTTATGGACTTTTATATAACTATTTAATGATAGTTTTGTTCTTGTATGAATTAAGGTAATGCATGAATTCAAAATATGATGGGATCACGGGATTGGATTATGAGGTTCTTTTGTGCCTATTTTGATTCTCAAACATTTTGTAACAAAACAATGAAAATAGATTAGTTATTAGTGGTCTACAAAATAACTCAACTTACAAACTCGAGTTTGTTATGAATTAAATTGACTACTTCACGTATTATAATATTTATTCTAATGATTTTTTTTTTATGTTTTTTATTATATGAAATTAAATTAAACAAATCAAACATCAATTTGCAAACCCCAACTAGAGTATGCAACTTGTCTAACCAAGTCGTGCTACAAGTTCCAATACTATTTTAACATTAGTGAGAGTTGACCGTTTAGTTTGTAACATTGATTGACACCTATTATTTTCGAAGGCTACTATCAACTACCTTCCCGGATTATATTCGGATCACAATTCGATTCTCCTGCAAGTTCATGGTCTCATGTCGCCTTCTACCCTAAAACCATTCCGGTTCCCGGATGCCTAGATTTTATATCCCGACTTTGGACGACTTGTCAATGATACTTGGACTACTACTATTGGCTCCCTCTATGACGCCTTACAAGACATGGTTATTGCTACTACTAACTTTAATAAACACATTTTTGGAAACATTTTTCATTGTAAAAGGAGAACACTTGCCGAATTATGGGTATTCAGCGAGTTTTATCTTCTCGATCTTCACAATTCCTAATAAAACTTAAGGTTGGTTTACAAAAAGAGTACTCAAAGATTCTTCATCGAGAAGAGTTATTCGGTTCCAAAAATCACGGATTCAATGGACTCAAAATGGAGATATGTGTACTCGGTTTCTTCCATATGACAACCATTGGCGAAGGAAACAAAACAAAATTAAGAGGATTCGCTTTAAGGATGGCTCGTGGGTATATGACTCATCTATTATACATGAGGAGGTGGTTTCATTCTTCCATAATATATTTTTTATTATGGATGATATTACTATATCTCTTCCCCTTTTGAAGGCCGACTCACACTTGACTAGTTTTAAATAGAGGATATGCTTTGACCTTTTACTAAAGCGAGAGGTTGTTGTTAAATCCATAAAGCTTTACAAAGCTCCCGATCCGAATGGATTTCATGTAAGCACCTCCGACCTAACTAAGGCCAATAATGCTACCAAGCAATGCCTCACACTCGTAGTGCAATGAACATGAGACACTAAGTCTCATGTCTTCTACTTCATATAATGCACAACCAAAGTAATAAAACTAATTTAAATTTTCTTAGAACATTAAATCATTTTACTAACTTCAAAAAATTAACCAAATATAGCATGAGTTTATTAATGTTTGCCTTTAAACTCTAACCTAAACATATAGGACATACTTTAGTAAATTCAGCTCATTCTCGACAGCATCCTTAACGTCACACATGTCTTCATGCATCGGTCACCACAAAACAAACTATGAGCTAATGCTCGGTAAGTATAGTTATGCAAGTATGCAATAAATACCTTTTTCATGATGTTGAAAAATATTTTATGTGATCGAACATACATTGCTGAATGTATATATATTCAAGCCTCCATGAAAATCATTCTTGTGAAAAATCATCTAAAGACCATCTAATATTGGTGGAGCCATGATCAATTCCTCTACCGATACACCCATGAATCACGATCATCATAAAAGGGTGATCATTCCATTTGTAAGCTCGTGATGATCCCGTGATAAGCCTATGAACATATGGTGTTAGTGAGGCCATTACCAATTCACCAACTAATAGCTATATGGTATTAGTAGAGTCATTGCCAAGCTTCTAACCAATACCCCTTTTTCTTGAAAACATGCACACGTCTTTCTCTTTGTATGTATGAAAACATGATAAAAACCTTTTTTTCGCGAATGCAATCTACATGCATGACCTCACATAAATATACACAAAGCATCATTAAACATATCTTGACATGAACATATACCTAATTATCCATGAGCATATTCATGAAGCCGAATTTATCAACATCATAATTTTTCATTCATTAATCAAACAAGTATTCTTAAGCATGATCATAGGTCGAATCATTTACAATATATATTCAATCACTAATAACATCAAGTAATCATTTTGCTAATATATGAACATATTTATCAAGTGAACTCAAACAATCCTATAACATCAATCATCAAGTAATCATAGTCATATAACCACATCAATTCATAAACATAAAAACTCATATGACACCTATGTTTTGTGATATGGTGAGACTATATTTATCTTATGTTTTGGCTGG